AATGTGCTTTACCTCAGTAAACAGTACTGTGGGAGAAAATTTTTCCAATAGAAGTGTTTCTCAATAATTGCATGATAACAGTGTCAGCACTGACAAAGAAAATTCAAATGGCCAAATGCAAATTAAGTTAGCCTTGCATATCGTTCATTACTACTCATGTAGTTGGTAAATTAATGCATGAATATCCTTTCTCTGTGCGCAAAAGAAGTTTCTCTAACTTCAGCTACTGCATAAAAATGCAGCCCAAACTCAGCTATCAATCTCTGGAAAGGTAGGCCTTACCATCTAGCAGGACATACCTCATTAAAATAGAACAGTTTTCAGATTCAGTGTGAATTAAAAAATAAATAAATTCAGAATGGTGGGTGACTTCCAACTCATACAAAATTCTACCAGGTGACCTTGGCAGCCTCCTCCTGGATTAGTCTTTTCCAGAGGCTGATGAAGAATTCCCTGATTCTCAGAAAACCTTGGTTTTATTTCCAAAACTCCATTTCACAGCATAGGACATTCAAAAAGGCTTTTGGAATTCTAAGGCATTTCAGCAGGTTCAGAAGAAACTGTGCCAAGTCAACTCTTCTCAGAAAAAGAAACTCCATAATAGATAATCTGTATGACCTCTACAGCTGCCCTGGGTACCTGCAGGGTCCTGTGATGAAACAAAACCAACTCTAAATAAATAAATACAACACTCAGTTTCAAGGTCTGAAGCACCTGGCACAGTCCTGCACCTGGTTGGCACATGGTCAGATGTTACACGATGTACCTTCCAAATGCCATGAGGCTGCAGAACAATCCTCAGTACTTCCATGTAATTCTTATCATCATTAATGGACAATGTACACAAAATGTGCACAAAATTTAGAACTTTCTATTTTTGGACATTAGGACAATTTGATGACCAAAGTAACACCAGTGTTGATTTTTTAAAATGCTAAAACTTGAAAAATGTTTCGATAATTTCAGTGTACAATTCTACATAACACTGTTCTGGAAGAACTTACAAGGAAAACTTTTCATACTACACTGAAATGCTAAAATGCATTTTGAAGCACTTGAGCTAATAAAAGCAAGGGGTACATAACTCTCTTTAGCTTATGTAAGTTATTAAAAGCTTTAGATGAATGACAAACTCAGAGGTAGATAGTCACATTTACCTAGCACCAACTTATTTTTTTTCCCAGAATGTGCATATGGTTTTGTCATTTAATGGCATATTTTCATTTAGTCAAGTAAAATTCTTGGAAAGTCTTGGAAAAAAAAATAAATTGCAAATAAAAACTTAGAATTTGTCAGACAAAGCAGCAGCAATATATATAAAGTCCAGAGTTCTCAATCTCACTTATCTGTCTTGTTTACTAAACATTCATAAACACTTTACATGCTCTGTGTCAACATGTGAACAATCTCCAGCATACCAAGTTCAGAAAATCAATTTTAAAGACAACTAGTCAATCTTCAGCACTTGCTTCAGAGAAGGGCAACAAACCAATAGAGGTGAAAGCAATTATGCAAATGCATGGAATTCTTGAATTTCTGTCTTTATGTTCATCCTGTTATTGGCTCATGAGGTGTTTCCAGAGCCTCTTCATTCCTTGCATGCTCAGAGGTGTTGTCCATTGAAAAACCTGGAGAATCCAGGTTGGAGGCTAAAGTTTATTTTAGTTCTTTTTTTACCACTTCTCCTTCATCCTGCCTGTAAGTGGAATTCCTCTGGAATGTCATAGAATCATAGAATGGTTTGGGTTGAAAGAGACCTTAAAAATCATCTAGTTCCAATCCCCCCTGTCATGGGGAGAGACACCTTCCAGTGTCAAGCAAAACCTCCACATTCTACAGCTGTTTCTTTCACGCTGAGCTACCAAAAATATACTATCTAACACTACTCCTTTAATTACAAAAACCATAAGCCAAAATGCATACACAGTAAAAATAGATTATACCACAAATACCTATTTTTAAATAGCTTTGGGACTGTTTATGGAGCTCTCTGGACCAAGGTAATTTGCTGAAACTTGATTTGAATGGTACCCATATTTATATTTAGAAATAAAAGCAAACTTAAATCTCACAATAATGCTGTGATGGCAAAATGAGTAAGTTTATTATTGGTGATCCTTGTTTAGCTCTTGCTATTAGAGATGTGGTAATTTTGAAGCACTTGGGATCACATGTGTAAGTCTCATTAGTCCACAATACTTGACTGTAAGCAAAACCCCTTCACTGCACAACTGAAGTAGCCAACATGCTTTTAAATACTCAGCTTCTCAAAGCAAAAATATCTGAAAAGATGAAGAAATACTTTAACATACATACTGATTTTTAAACTTGAGTCTAACATTTTTATAGTCCATTATGGATATTTCTAACTTCATAACAGATACTTAATGCTAAAGGTGATGACACTGTTAATCTGAAAGACAGCAAACAAGGTCACTCACACCATTTTAACTGAGCACAAATCAAGTGCACCTACCACATTTTTGCATTTTAACACTGATAATATTCTCATCAATTCAGAGGTAGTGTGAAAAATCAACTTATTTACACAACTGTCACAAAATGACTCACAATGCTTTCAGTAAAGCAGAAACTCTTTGAACATTTATATGTGAATGTGGTTTAGAAAACAAGGATTGTGCACTTAGAAACCTAACTAACTCTAAAGATTTTATTTAATATAACCAAGGCAAAGGTAAAATTAGTTTAGCAAGGTAGATGAGAAAGCCTTGATTTTAAGAATAGCCCTGTCTATAAAAATATAACCTTTTTATTAGAATTCTGATGAACTTCACTGTAATATGTATCTACTTTTTAAAAGCATTCTCAGTAATGAAAACCTGCAGAAATCATTGTACATGGTATCACTGTGGTTGTGATAGTTTGGATATATGGGAGAGGGCACTAGTTATTAACATTGCTTAAAGAAATTAAATTCCATGGCAAAAAACTTAGAAGCTTAACAGAAAGAACCCTAACAGAATAGTTAGCTCCATGCAGAAATTTGTTTAAACTAATTTAGAGAGAAAATATTCCTGAATTGGTCTTCTTTTAATAATTCCATATCCCAAGGCCAGAGAAAAGGGCAGGGATAATTGTGCAACAGTAATGCTGGATGCACATTTTAAAGAGATACCCTGTGATAAATGCCACCTAATACTGTTCTTTATTATGCCAATATTGGCAAACTTGCAAAACCCAAGTATATTTTTGGAAGAAAAGGAAACACTTCTAGAAATTTATTTCTAATTATTATTGTAGAGCCTCTACAAGCAAAGCAATCTACTGAAAGGACAATCTCTCTACTTAAAATCCAGTAGCTAGAAATAATAAAGATACAGGAATAAGTTTAGGAGAGAGAAACCACACAAACTTTTAGCGCATTGAAAAATCTACATGAGAAAGAATGCACAGGAGTACAATGAAATGAAAAACTGGGGGAGGGGGACAGGAATATTTTTATTTTTACTTCCACGACCTGATAACAAAACAATTTTTACTGGAAAAATCCATGGTTGCAATGCAACTCAATAAAGTGTAGTTTTTCATTTACAGGCTTCGCAAACAAACATAATGCAGCTAAACATATTTCAGAGGAGATTTATTTTTCCAAACTAACCATTTCTTTTTTTTTTTACCCAGCAGGAAAACTGTAACATTGAGTAGTCCCCCCTGTGCAGTGTGGCCAGTCCACATGAACAGAGCACCACTCCCTGTCTCCACCTCTCACCCAGTCAGTCTCTGAATATTAAAACATTTTAAAGACATGGCACAAATATATTCTATAAGGTCCAGCACTGACCTCTGTAAAACAGGCTAATTGAGCAGGTGTCTGGTAGAATGACATTCTTCTGGACTAGTTGTCAATCTATAGTACTTGGAGCTCTGTTATTCAAATTAATTAATCCCTCCTAGGTCCAACCCACTCACCTAAAGCTAGCAGGGAAAATATGCCATTGCACAAGGAGTTTTTCTGGAGGGTCATGGTTTTTGACCTAAACTGATAAAAAATGCCATTAGGAGTGATACTACAGTTTGCTCCTTGAAATCTACTTAGTGACAACACTGGAAGAAAACACAACAAAAGCCAAATTTTAATTTTTGGGGGTAGTTTTCTTGTTTGTGGGGTGTTTTTAGGGTTTTGGGGTTTGTTTGATTGGGGTTTTTTGTCTTTCTGTGGGGGCCACCTGTTACCAAGTAATGAACAAAACTTCCAAATTAAGCAAGCAGAAGTTGTTTTTGATCATATCTAAACTACTAGCCATAGCTGACACAGAAAAAATAGATCAGTGTCCAAACAGGCAGAAAACAAGAATTTTTCTTCTCAGACTATGATGGCTAAACCAAGACAAGTTAAAGCTCAAAATATTACTGGACAAGTGTAACTTTGGAAACAGCAGCACCTTTCTTTTCTCTTATTTTCGCCCCCATGTGTGCTCTGAATTCAGGCTGACCACAGAGGGAGTGCTGAAAGCTCTCAATAACTTACAGAAAACTCCTACCTTGTGCACTACTTATAGTCAGTACCATACCATTTGCAACCATGTGACCCAGCAAGCCCAGAAATCCCCCATCCTCTTCTTTCCATAGCTTTTATTTGCTTTTTCTTTCTTCTATTGAACCCAAGGAGGTTTGGAGTGAGCTGTTTACTAAAATCTCACTGGATGAAACTCTGTTGAATATTCAGACTCTACTGATGGCACAATGAGGAAACTGTCATTGATCCTTCCATTTTGGAAGGAGAGATGTGGAAATTTGTAAAAATGGTCCCTGCTGTTTAATGCTATAGTTCACTGCTTAGAAATCTGAAGAAAAGCCACATTTTCAAACATCTTCTGGTATGTAAACAAGTTACTGATTAGATGTCATGTATGTGCCTAAAGCACATGAGAAGATTTATATAAAAATTTAAATCAGATACTTGACTAGGACTCACATTTATTGCCTCTTTGCTAAATTTTAAGCTACTCTTGAAAATTTTACATAATGGTCTTCTTCACTTATAGGAGACTTACGGGTGGCCAGAGCTGGGAAATGGATGACCTCATCCTTCTCTCACAGTAAATTCCCCAAAGTCAATCAGCTCCTTAAAATTGAAAGTCAGACCCCACTGGAATATCAACTGAATATCAATGAAATTTCAAACACAGAAGTCAAAGTAACTACATAAACCAGAAGGGTAATGAAAGGGATTTTTAATTAGCTCTGTCCCCTATCCTTGCAGGAGTCACTGGTTTTGGACTCAGGTTCAATCATCTTCTTGGTTTTCTCAGCTGCAGCAGATTTTGTGCAATCTCCTCTGGTCCCTGGGAAGCTTTTCTCTTTCACCACTTGGTGACAAATCTCTCCTCATGTCCCAGCACAGACAAACCATCTCTCACAATGATATTTCTCAAGATATGGAAAAAACCATATTTTGATCGAGGAGTTGTTTCACGTCTGATCTGAGAGCAGAAACAAGCTCTGAATTAAGAATTATATTGGAACTGTAGCAGAATTCACTTCTTAGTATGAACAAATTAAGTAGCTTTTTTTTCCTTTTTTTTTTCATAAGATCATGCATATGGCAAATTAAAAATAATTATGCACTATCTTGGCTACCTAAAGAGGGTAGGAGAATTTGCCTTTACTCTTCTGTTCCTCTAAAAAAAAAAAAAAATCATCAGCCAACAGGAATCTAACCCCAGCTCACTCAGGATTAGATGGATAAACACAGCTTATTTATAAGATAACTCCCTTTTGCCAAACATTTGGAAACACATATACAACACAAGCTTTTGATTTTATGCCAAATAACTTCAAATGTAGATTTTTAAGACTGTATTTTTTTACTGTAAGACATATTTTAAAAGAAAAATTGCAAAAGACTGTATACTATCATGAGCTTCGGTGAAAAGTAAGTGTAGACAAAATGCATTTCACAAACTGTGCCACTGTCATATCATAAGCAGAGAAGTGAACAGAGGAAATTCTGCAATTGCTTAACTTCCTCTCAAATTTTCTCAAAATCAACTTTGCAGGAAGAAGCAATTGCTCAGTAAACCAAACTAAATTCAGTACAATACAATTGTCTTCCACAGGAAAGTGAAGCTATCTTAATGTAATTTTACTTTTAAGACTAAAAATACTGTAACTTCCTACCAAACCAGAACATATCTAAGACCAGGGCTTGAAAATGATGATCAGCTAAACACCCGAATTTTTTAAGAATTCGTTAAGAAGCTGATATTTTTCATGGCACCACCTACAATAAATTAATTATACTTACAGTTTGAAAAATTAAGACAAACATACTTTGTGCAGTAGTATTTAATTACCATTTCAATCACAACAGGAGTGCTTGTCATACCTTAGAGCACACAGTTGCCTGAAGATAGAGCTACAAGTTAACAATCCACGATCACAAAGGGCACGCTGAGTTTTCACAGTAGCTCAATGGCCAACAGCAGCCCCATGGGTTTCAGTGAAAACTGTAGGTAAAACTTTGCAAAGCAACTTTAGCCCACTTGGTTTATAAGTAAAAGTTTACAGAAAGCATCCTCTTACCTTGTGGTCTTGGCGTTCGTTTCCTGCGATCTCTGAACGCTGCTCCTGACTGCAAGGCCTCCAGCAGACTGTCCATCACTCCTGTCTCATCACCCTCTGAGAAGAGCAGAAAAATCATATTAATCTCAGTGCAACTGAAATCAGACACTTGAGAAAGAAAAAAAAAAGTAGAAATGTTGTCAAGTTTACATAACGCTTCCGAGTAAGAGACATACACATTTTAAGGTAATGGATGCTGTCAGTGCTTCAGGTATCACTGTCTAGTTGGTGTATGATGCTCTATTAAGCAAAATTGATGCCAATCCTACTGTTCTTTCAACTTGGAGATGTTATCTTCTGCATTATTGATGACATCTTCAGCTTGTAGATAGACAGCTGCTGGTGAATGACTGCTGCTTCACTGCTAAAATATTTTAAGACTTTTCTGAAGTGGAAACAGGTCATCTCTTTTTGATTTAATCAATGCACATGGAAAATCTGATGACACTGAATGGCAGGAAGTTCAATATCGTAGCACGGTGAATATTTTATATGCTGCCTCCCAACCTCATGATTCACTAAATCCTTGGAAAAAAAATTACCTATACAATGTATGCCATATACTACACATCTAACCTCAAACCACGGATGATGTTCAAGTAATATTCAAGAACAAAGAGGGAAGAATCATGCAGTGTAAAATTTCTTAAAAGCTGAATTTCACTTCTGCTAAATTTTTTCTTCTACTTTTTTTCATAGCCAAGCCAACCTGCAGCCTTTAAATTGCTGGACTTTATGGTGCATTACAGAAATCTGAGTAGAAAAATTACTTCTTTTTATATATTTCAGCCTTAAAATTCCTTTGCATTTCAATCTGCTAATAACAGTTGATAGCAGCATTCAGCAGCTTGAGAAATAGAGGTCAAAGAACTGCAATGTTACAAAACTATTGATGAATGTCTCTTTCTGTTCTCGTATCTATGTTATAACCCAGAACTAAAATATAGGCTAGACTCAGCAGGTAGGTGGACATTTTATTCACATCTCTCAGACTTCAAGTTAATATAAATTTCCCCATCACAGAGTGGGAAGATCATTACTTTATGCAAAAAAATTACATTATGGCAGAAAACTTCTGACTCACACAAAGTGTAGGAGGTTAAATGCACATTCAAGCTCTCAAATGTTCAAGTTTAAAAGCAGCTTATTAATGAATAAGCTATTTTGTCCTGGTTCTCTATTACATTTAGGTTTATTAGACTAAATCCAGAGCTGATAAAAGAGCATGCCAATCCTAAAACAGTACTTGGTTCAAATTTCTACATGGTGATCATCAGTATAAGTACATGATGAACTTAAATTATACATCAATGTAACTTAAACCATTATATATACTATAGAACACATACATAAAATTCTCCCCAGAGTAAGATGAAAGGGAGCAGTGCAAGTGCAGTAACCAGCAAAAGACTCTGAAATACCAGTTTTAATTGCATTCCATCTAAAAGTCTTGAACAACTATGCTCCTGCAAAATAAATAAGTAAATTAGCTTCTCTCGATTCACACTCACATACAAAGCCAAAATTTTATTTAAACTGTACAATATAATTATTTTGCTTTGTGCTTCTTATCCTACACATGCTTATTCATTGATTTGCTGTTGTCCTTGTATTAAATTTATTTTCAAAATCAAAGGTCTGTGAATACACTTTGTCCAAACTAATACACATCAAGTTGGTCTGAAACATTTAATGAATGTGACTGCAAAGCACAGAACTAGTTAATATGTTCGAATATTTTATGTGTAGAAAAACAATATTGTTCGATCCTCATTAAAAGTTAAGAGTTGGCAGTTTATTAAAAAAGACAAAAATCCTTCAATACTTCATGAATGTTTATGCAGTCTTCCACTTCTTTTTTGCTGAGTCTGCTGCTCTACCTGCTAATTACTGCAACTGCCAAAACCCACCCTATTTTTGGGATACCAAAATACACATTATAAAGGCACATGTATTAAGGAAGCTGTAGAACACAGTGATGGGATTTTTAACTTCTCAAAGTAAAATTCACATTAGGTCTGATCACAGCACTGCGTCTTAATCAAAGTTGTCAGATGATTAAATGGGAACTGGACAAAGAACTGCATTTTCAGTGAGCCTTCATTAAAATTCATAAATAAAATTCAACAGAAATTTCAGTCTTTCCCCCACAATTCTTTCTGCTGTACTTTGCATATTACCATCTCCTATTTGCCTATTTTTATACTACCTGCAGCAACTTGTAGACACAAACCAGAAACAAAGATAAAAACTGCCAGAAGTTTCAAAATGAAAAAACTTATTTCCAACATTCCTGTCAGCAGAAATAAAATACATAATCATTATTCCTCTTTTAGATATCTTTCATTGTACACGAGGACAGGAGTTTCACCTGGAACAAGTAATTTTCTTCCTCCTTGTGTCTTTTCAAGTAAGCCCCAAGCAATTAAGAGAGAGCATATGTGTGCACACAAGCAAAAAAATTGGCAATTTGCTTTGATTAGCCTTAGCAAAGAGCCAGATTCACTATAGGTATTAAACAGGGTTGAAAAGGCAAAAGAATTCTTAATCATTAATTGACATGTTAACTACAAGCCCCATTTGTTTTAATTTGGATTTTACACTAATATTCTACTGCAGATTTGGTTTAGTCTGTTTTGAAAATGGGTGAGTTTTTGGGAGATTACAGAAATACTTGTCCTCTTGCAGGTCCCATAATTTAGACCAGTGTTAGTCAACAGGTTTTGGTCACTTTTAATGATAAAGACAAAAATATTTTTTCTTCTTCCAAAGAACATTATTATTGCTTCTTACACTGCTGGAGAGCCCCAAGCAAGCTGAGGCACAGACAAAAAAAAAATATGATGCAATGAACAAATAAAGGCTTATTTGAGATGAGCAGGGAACCTTAATATCAAGATACCTCAGCTTTTCATAATTTTTGACCAGTTGTAGGAAACAGAACAGAAGACGGGAACAAGAAATAGGACTTAGTGTGCATTAAGGTGAAAGTGTATATGGAAAAAATTGGCATAAAGTCCATCTGCTTATAAATGCTGAGGAACAGTCATATAGTCAGTCTATAAACAAATTTGCTGTGCATAAGGGCAATACTCTGGATTTTACACTTGACTTTTATAAATAACAACAGACTTTAGATGAATTGGTCTTATTAAGTGTTTAGTATTTGTGGTCAGAGTTTTGTGTTAAATATGACTCTAAACATTAGTGCTCTAGAACTGGACTGCCAATTTCAAAAAAGAGACCCCTGATAAACCATAGGAAAATAAATCAGAAACTGAAGATCTGGATATGTAAAAGGGTGGGGAGTGATTACAAACAGAACAGTGACTACTGCTAGAGATGGATACTGGCTGAACTTTTCACTTCAACATTAATGCACGTCAGCAGCACAACCCCTTGGAACAAAGACAAGATAGATACATGACCACAGATGAGTAATGACAAATCAGCTTATATAAAGTCCTCTCAGCTGATGTGGAAGCAAATGGCAAATCTCTATTTTTAATTATAGAGATTAACAGGCCATTGAAATGACCAAATACCTACTGCTACTATTTGAGAACAGCAAATGTAGAATTTGTTTGTAAGAAAAATACCAAAACCTCAGCTGGAGAACAAATCAGTATGATAGTCTTTGGCCAGTAGCATAAAAGATGCTTCAAACAAGTTTTGAATACAGCAGAACACAAGACTATGACACTATAGTTCTGCCACAGATACTAGACTAAATTTACAGTTTATAATTTCTGTTAACACAATATCCTGCACTTCATTTGGCAGAAAATTTCTAGAAAATTTCTCTCTCATTTATCTGGTGTTCAGTATTTGATATAATGGCTGCTTAATTTATTAGTGGAAGGTGAGAAGATGGTCATTAGCAAAATATCTGGCTAAGTAACAACAAAGGGCTGTTTATAGATACGAAGCTTGAACAACTGAGAGCTTATCAGATCTTTTTTCTGAAAACCTAATCAGTGCCTTGGCCATCACAACATACAAATAGGAAATACTAACATTTTGGAGGATAAGATCAGAACATGCATAAGATTTGGAAGAACAAAATCAATTGAAATAATACAACAAATATGTGTAACTTAGGGGCAAGCCAGGAGCTCTTCAACAGGGAATGACCAAGAGCTCCAATATAAAGAGGTGACCAAAGAAACAAGGCTGAATTACCATCTGACTGGTGTGATAACTTGTATCCACTGTAGGAGAATTCACATTAAACCAACTCAGGCAGTTACCACAGTCCAGAGATAAAGCACATCAAGTCTTTTACCCAACACAAATAAGTATATAGAGTATATATTTAACCTGCCTCTGGAACACAGCAGAGGGATTAAAGTATCTCCATTTTTAAAAAATAATTATTTCAACAGCCTGCCCCTGGACTGCATCATGACTATACCTGACATAGATGTAGAACTAAGATTCTGCAGCAAAGGTAGGCAATTTATTTTAGCACAATCTGTACATTGCTAAATTAACCATGAGGACAGTGTTGTTAAAGGGAGAAAACAAACACCAGCAAATGATGAAGAATGTTTACTTTATCTTATTTTTCACAGAGCAAACACAATCTTTCACCTGCTTCTGTAGCCATTTTCTGTTTCAAGAGTTTCCCTGAAACAGAGGAACCATTTCAACATGGAGATGAAGATAAAATATTTCCCTTGGTTGTCACTGCTGGCTCCTTATGAAATATGACCCTTAAGTTAGATTTAGAATCCTTTTTTGTCAGTATTACATTCCTTTATCACTTTCTGACAAATCTCATCTAAACCTCAAAAAGAGGCCCCAACATTCCCACCTCCTGATATTAAATGCAAAATAATGTTCTGATCTATTTATAATCTATATGATTAAAATGAAAATTGAAGTTGACAAAAAATGCACAGGTAAAGGATCATTCTTTTGTTAACCTCAGGAGCAACAAAAGCTACAGCTGAGTCAAGACAAGTCTTAATTTTTTAAAAATAACTATTACAAAAAGTTCATGTTGAAAATGGAAATACATTCAGTCACTTGTAGTCTGTGAGGCTTTAAGAACC